CCTGAATGAATCCAAGTAACTATGATGGTCGCCTTCTGAAATGACCAGCAGACACACATCTGTATAGAAGCTGCCCAAAGTATAAACTCTGGTTTTAAAGTACCATGTCCAGCCAAGGAAGTCCTGGTGTGGAGCTTTCTACAACAACAGTCAGTTCAGTAGCTGTGCAGGCTGGGGACTCCAAAATCATTATAGCTGTCATAAAGGTAAGTCACAACTTTCTTTTTCTGTGTGGCTGTGGGCTTCTTGTGTGTTGAAAACCCTCAAGAACATTCCACTCAATCAGCAGTACACAGCGTGTAGAGGATACCACAACAAGTACATATTATTGCTTTTTTTAAATCGGCAGCTAAGAGAAACCTCTACTAAGTTTCAGCCAGAGTTTCTCTTTTCCCTTCAGTTAGTCAGATGTGTACGGCAGTTTGGTAAAAATCTCCACCATATACTTTCAATTTGCCTTTTTAAGGGAGGATATTCGTGATGAAAAGGCTCATGATTGCCAGACTGAGGAGCGAAAGGGACCTGTGAAAGGCTTACGATTTTTGGAAGATGGATGCGATGGAGAAGGGAGGTACCGGCAGGTGGGGGCTGGCACTGTTTTGAGCGTGATGGAGAGCTGGCAACACCTAGTAAGAGGCTCTACCATGTACCCTCCGGCATCCCTGTTTTTGATGTGGTGAAGGCTAACGGGGTTACTAAATCCTTGTCGCATTGTTGGAGGAGAAGTAGACCCTGCCCACGGAGGTGCAAAGAGCATGTGTCAGATTTGCTCTTAACAGCAGGAAGTTGAAGGCACTGGGGGGTTTAAGATTACTGCATGTTTTATGTCAAGCCATTTGCCCATTGGAAACCCTGGTGGCCGAGTTGTTAGGTGTTACAGCTGCTAACCAAAAGGTTGGCAGTTCAAATCCACCAGGCACTCCTTGTAAACTCTATGGGGCAGCTCTACTCTGTCCTACAGGGTCGCTATGAGTCGGAATTGATTCGACGGCGATGGGTTTTTTTTTTGTTTTGTTTTAATTTGCCTATTTGCAAAGTTGATTTCACATCTTTATGTTGAAGAAGACATCCATGATTTTATTCCCTATGAAAATGCCCTGTAAAAACTCCTAAAGCATCATGCTGGGGCTTTAGACAATCACCACCTAAAGAATTTAATGTTTAATGAAGGGAATCCCTGAAAACAAGCTGGTATTCCACAGCCAGTGTTTCAGGATCCCACCAGGCTTAACTGAATGGCTTTTCTGGCCTTTTGTTAGAGCATAGACAACAAGGCCTATTTCATTTAACTTAATTGCCGTGAATTTTACGGTAATGCAAAAATCCCTAACAGGAATACTGCACTTGACATTGAGCAAAGTGATTCATTATAGAAGCACAGAATGCAAAGTATTCCTGCGGAGGCCCATCTCCCAGTGCTGTTGGGAGTTGGCCCCCACAAGTAAACGAGACCTCTGCTGACTCCCTTCCCCTCTGACCTTTTCAAAGGCAGTGAGTTAAGATGAAAAGAAACCTGAAGCATAAGTAGCAAGAATTGATATTGTGCATGTGATTTGATGATTCTTTGAGTAACTGCAGAGTTTAGTAGTGAGGAGAAAGAAGTAAACGTAAACAGGATAAGGAATAAAGCTGAGAGAATAAATTACGGGAGAATCAGAGGTGGATTTAAAGTAACAGATAAAAAGCTTTAAAATTACACTGGAAGCTTTTACTTCATCTGAATTCTGTTTCTAAGAATGTTCCCTCCTCCCACCACCACCCCCTTAACCTCACGGCCTCCCCGTATAAAATAACCCCAAAGCTATTCCAAGCCGAAAAGTCCATGTGAAAGGAGTAGAGGTGCTTGTGTCTGATATGTGGGTTTCTTGTTTCCAGACTGTCTCAGAGCACTAATTATATTCTGGAATAGAAACACATTTTTCTCATTTCTCTTTAGTAATTCAGTTATCCACATGCACATGCCTATCAGTAGTTCCTCTTGCTTAACCAGTTGTTGCTTCTTAGACAATCAATTCCTCAGAAAATGCAATGATGAACTATATCTTGGAGCAGTGAAAGGGTCCTGAGTGTGGAAAACAAATTGATTGCATTCAAATGACAGTTGTCATGTGCATCTAATTTTATTTACCTTTTTGTGCATACTTTACTGAATATTCAACAACAAAATTTGGAAAATGTTGTGTTTTGTCTTTGAAATAAGATAAAAATCAATGGCTTCATCTGATGTTTATTTTTTCTGGTTGAACCAGCAAGGCCAAATGTAAAGAGACTCATTAGCCTAAACCGCATTTACTAAAACTTCCCCCTATGGTGTAGTTTGCATCTTGCTTACCTAAGCAGAATGTGGCCATATTTATGGAATTCAGTTTTGTGGGTGAGAGAATATACAATGGTGTGAATTACTCTGTGATTTTGTAATATTCAATAATATGTAATCCACTGTACACGTTCCTTATTTGGAAATTTTTAATTTAAATCCAATATGCGAACAGAGAAGAATTTATTCTAAAAATTAAAAAAAAAGGTAGGGCATAGATTTATAGTAGACCTTTTATGTTGTAATTTAAGAAAGGCCCATCTCTATGGAAAGAATGAAGTGTTTATAGTATAAATAGATTTTTTTTAAAAAAGGAGAAGAGTGAACAGGAAGGAATACGAGGAACTAAAAGTGCATTTTATTTCGTTTTTATTTTTAGTCTGGCAAATGGATACAACTTCAGTTGGCTGAATCACAGCCCAATCTTCTAGAAATTGGTAGCAGTCAAGATGAAACCAGAAAACTTCTTCATGATCATGAACTTCTTTTGGCCAAGCTCAAGGTAAGCTATTAGGTTGTGAAGCAGATACAAAAGTAAAGAGGAATAAAAAGCTACTTGTAGGCTTCCTCTTGATTCCTTCTGGTGTCATTGGCCTCATGGTCATTTTAATATGGTGCCCGATAGATAATTTAAAAATGCTACAGTTATTTAAGAGCAAACACTAGCATCAGAGAGAAGTAACAAGATTTTTTATTAACTTTCCCTAATGTGATAGAAAATATGGAGTAATAATATTTTCATTGTGGAGAAATACATTTTTTTTTACCTGGCTGCCTCAGTTAAAAAAAGAAAAAAATCCATCATTTTTCCATCTCATGCATTATACTGTCAAATCACAACAACAGATCCAAACTTTCTATTGCTAATGACCTCTGCTGGTAAGAATAATTTAGAAGTATTATTGTTCCCTGTTGAACTATTGAAAATATCTGATTTTGTGCTTAGTATTGAGAGTTCTTGAAACCAAAAAATACTTTTAGTATAATCAGACTTATTATTCCATATATTTTGTGGCTATTTTATTAAGATTCTACAATAATATTGGTTTGAGACAGCCAGGTAAAACATCTAATCAGGACCAGCTATATAATTTGTTGTGCAAAATGAAAAGGTGGGACACTTGGTAAAAAAGCAGGAAAAATCTTTTTCTTAACCTGTATTTCGTATTTTGTGGTGGTGCCATGATTAAGTGCTCAGCTGCTAACTGAAAGCTTAGCAGTTTGAACCCACCAGCTCCTCCGCTGGACAAAGATGTAGCAGTCTGCTTCTGTAAAGATTACAGCCTTGGAAACACTATGGGGTAGTTCTACTCTGTCCTACAGGGTCACTAAGAGTGAGAATCAACTTGTCGCACACAACAACATTTAATGTCTACTTCCTTCAGGCACAGGGGTATTTGCCAGGTGAGTGAACATCCTCACAGGCACCTAGAGCCTTGCCCCATGACTCAGTGCATGAGATGGGCTTGACTTCTACCCTCAACCTCTGCCCTCCCTGAGCACACACCCAGGCCCCCACTGGGGTCGAGGGCAGTAGTCACTAGGTGGGAGGGAAGTGGACAAAACAGGAAAGAGACTCACCTCTGGGTGGCAGGAAGGTGGTAGGAGACAAGACTGCATGTGAGCTAGGGCTCCAGTCCCCGCCCCCCTCCGCACTTGCTCGGTTGTTCCATTGGCCTTCACTTCCAAAACAGAAATTCAAAGATACAACTATTAAGAAATTCAAGGCAATGATGGTAGAGCATTAAACCCCAAGCAGGGTTCCCTTCTGAGCACGGAGCCCTGTGATGCAGCAGGCCCTGTGATTAATAACCCTCAGAGGCAAATGAATGTCTTCACTCAGATCGAAGAAGTTTGATAAGGATTCGGAGGACTGCAATGACTAGGATGTTCTGCGTTTTCAGTACTTTAGTATTACTAGCTTCTTGGAACATCTAGATTGGAACTAATATTTGCCTTCTAGATTCAGAGGCAGATCAGATCCCCATCTGTTATATATGGACAGTGCTTTTCTATTGAACAATGGTAAAAGTAATTGGATATCAGACTGAGAAGTTGAAGAAAGAATTAATACTGAAGCAAGTATTTAGAATATGGAACTTCCTCTCTTTTTTAGATAGCTTCTTGCTCAGGGCTCTGGGCTGTCTTTTAAGGTAGAAATCTCTAGTCATCAGTAGGTTCACCATTATGTTGTGAAGGAGAATTGAACCAGGAATCAAAAAATCTAGTTTTCGTTCCAATTATGCTACTTTGTTGTTGTGTGCCTTTGAGTCAATTCTGACTCATAGCGACCAATGACTTTTTGGGTAGCAGCCACGCGCTTAACCCTTGTGCCACCAGGGCTCCTTTAATTATGCCACTAACAAGCATAATTCCACTAACAACTCAGTCCTTCTGCTAAGCAAAAAGCTGTGTAAACTTGTCTTGACCCTCCAATTCAATGAACTGTGGAAACCTAACACTTGCAATTTCCTCCCATTCTCAGGGGGCTTACTTTCTTATAGTCCCCTGTGTCTCGTTTCTTCATATGCACGCACTAGTTTCTGCTAAATTTAAACGGGACTTGAAACCACATCCCTTCCCCAGTTCCCACTAATAATTAGTGCCTATTCAGCCAGCATTTTCAGGTCCATTGATGAATTGTGGGTGGTGGGGAGGCCCATGACAGTCTGGGTATCTCAGAGTATCTCTCTTCTCCCCCATTCCTACTCTTGTCATGGCCTATAACTCCAGGAAGAATCTTTCTTAGGTGGACCAATTTAACTCTCCTCAGTGCCTAGGCTCAAATTTGCATACCTGAATAGATCAAGCTCCTGGAAGGAGCTCAGCTGGAAGAAGGTTTTCCATTAAACAGCATCCGTTATTCTTAGAAGGTACTTGTGATTCTAAATTATAAATGTCTTCTCGTCCTTTTATACCAGTCTTCAGGTTTTGGACTAGCCACGTGATTCCTCTGGACTTTAGGCTTTTCATCTGTAAAATGAGGAGAGGACAGATCAAAGCTTCATAACTACTGTGGATCTTACATTAATGGGCCATAGGCTCACAGGACCACTTTCCCTCCCTGCATGTGGGTCTAGGAACACGTAGTCTCAAATGCCTTTTGGTTTCACATAGGCCTCTAACTATAATCCTCTTAATGTCCATCTCTCATGCCCTCACATACCCCATCCACCACCATCAACCCAGCCACCAGAGCCCCAAGAAATTTTAAGTAGTAACATATAATGAATGGATATAGATATAATGGATCCCAATGCTATTGGTTTAAAAAAAGAAATTATCAAGGAGCCCAAGGTCTGTCTCAAATTTACTAACAAATGACTTTTAAAAATAAAATTGTGAATTTCCTCACGCACATGGGTAGATGACTAATTCAATCAAATATACTAGTTATCATGCCGTTAGGTAGGCACCACCTTAACCTGTGGCATAAAATTGTTGGATCAAAGTTAGATTCAATATGAGCTTTTTGAAGGACAGGCATATTAGCAGTTCAATAAGCCAATAATATTTCATATTTAATGTTCACTCCAGTCCTTTTACTATGCACAGGGAACTGCAATTTGTTCTAATTATAAAGAAAGATGCTCTGTAAGGGGTGCTGGAGGGTGTAGGACTCAGCGCTGAGTCCACTCTCACTTGGGCAAAGCAGTTAGCCTCTCTGGTCTCAGGTTCTTTATTTGAAAAATTATGATAATAACAGTTACCCTCACATTCCTGATTACAAAATTTGGGGGAGAAATGTGATGATGTATGGGAAGTGCATGCTGCTTTTTAAAGAAAAAGGAGCATAATTGTTATACTAATGAACATAATCAGAGTAATTTGGATGTTTAATTGAATAGAAAAGTTATTTTCTGCCTTCCACTGAAAATTATCTTAAACCCTAGTAATTTAGACTAAAGGGAGAAATTCTGGAAACAGAATTTTTACGAGCATTTACAATGTTGATAATGTCTGTCACCTAGAGATCTTATTTTCCCTTTAGCAATGTACTTAACAATTCCAGTGGAGTGTCCAGAGAAAAATTGTTTCCGTATTTTCTGTGCTGAAAGCATAATCATATGGAAAAAGCATTAAGTCCCCAAAGGTACCCAGATTCTCAAATCATAGTCAAATTATTTCTGATGAGAAAGGAGAAATTAGAGAAAGAGAGGGAGAATTAAGCCAGGTAAGGAAGCTCTGCCCGTGGCCACTATCAACATTATATCCTCAGGTGAGGCTTAAAGTGGCTCAAAGAAAAAAGCTAGGTTGCAAATATCTCAGGGGTGTTGCTGAAAACTTTCTTCTCCTCAGCATCTGCCTTTCAACTGTACTACTGTTGTCCAAAGGAATTATGAGTGTAAGAACAAAGAAAACATCCTGGCCACTAGCTCCTGTGTTTGTAGATACATGGTATTAGTTCTCCAGGAAAGAATGAATCCTCAGAGTAGAAAACACTCAAAAATTTTACCTCTGATTTGACTCTCATGTATCTATTGGTTCTCTGATTCTGACTAAATCTCTAACCCAATAAATGCTATTTTGGTCCTATTTCTGTTTACTTATGAAAAACAAAAAAGTTGCTGTCAAGTCGACTCTGACTCATGGTGACCCTGTGGTTTCAGAGTAGAACTATGCTCCATAGTGTTTTCAACAGCTGATTTTTTTATAAGTAGACCACTAGGCCTTTCTTTCAAAGTACCTCTGGGTAAACTGAAACCTCTAACCTTTTGGTTAGCAGTGGAGTGTGTTAACAGCCATTTGTACTTCCCAGAGACTCCTTCTATTTACTTAACAAGAGATAAATGCATTATAGTCAGAATATATTAATAATAAGGCTAAAAACCTTACTAGAACTTGCCTTAAATAAAAGATAGTGACATTTTCTGCAGTTGATCTGAGATATGTACCTAAGAATACAGTCAAATAAAATAAAACTATGTAGTTTGAATTATGTATCTTTACATATTAGAGAAAATTTTTGCAGAATGTGTGTTGTGAACGTGATGGAACTCTTTAAATCAGGATTGGAAGAGAACTAACTTCTTTTATGTTATTTGTGTCTAAGCAGTATTTTAACCTAAATGTTTACCTCATACAAGGGATCCATTTTCTCTTTCCCTGTGCTCCTATAGACCCACAGTTAGGAAATTCTACTTTCTCAGAAGTGTTGAGGAAGAAATTTCTACCCTTCCCTACTCCACACTTTCTTCTCCCTGCAGACGTAAGGAAGAATGTGTTACCTGAGATGTGGGGCTAGAGAAGGAGTTATTCACCATGGAAGAAGACAGACTCAGGGGCTTTCTCCCCCAGACCCTGACTGCCCCACGGGCTGCAGGTTCTCTATGCGCTGCTTCCGCTGACCTGGTAGGGAGTCCCTGCTTGGCAGAGGCAGGCCACAGTACTGCCTAGGACAGTCAGATATGTGTCTGCACCTCAGACCCAACTCTCCCCATAGGCAAGTGCGAAGGCCTAGAGTTTAGGGAGAAAAAATAGAAGCCAAATCAACCCCACCCT